TCAAAAAATACTTAATGCCTCTACAACCCAAAATATCGTAGATAAAGATAAAAATCGTAGAACAGAAGGATTTGGCTTCATAGGCAATTTATTGAATTTTAACTATTTATGTGTTCAGAAATTTAGAGATTCCCCTCCAATCATTTCTTTTTAGCTGAAAGGGCGTTAGTCCGGCAGGGCTATTAATTTTGTTTTCGCATTTTGCATTGAAAACTTTAAATGTCCGTTTCATTTTTCAGATTGTTGCCCCCAAGTACTATCGCCCTGTGTTATATTTAAAGAAATTAAATAATGAAGAACCTGCATAATGTGAATAATAATGAAGAATCTGCATGTGAATAAAAATGAAGAATCTGCATTTATGTCTTTCGCATTTTGATAAAACAACGGTACCTAGAGGTATCCAATTTTGAATAACGTAATCCTCCACCAAATATGGGCATCTGTAAGCCCTAATTTGGAATTTAGAATTTGTTTTATTATCGATTTCATATTTTGTAACACTTCAACGAATTTTTGATTAACAAACTCAACTATTTCAAAGCGAGCAATGGCAACACTGTACGGAAAAAGAAAACATTTTTATCTCCAGCGCGCAAGACTGTATATCGAAATTTCTAAAGATATCCTCATTTTAAAATTATTTGGGAATATTGATGTTAAATTGAATTTTATGATTTAAGTGCGAAAATGATGGTATTTAATAAATAAAAGTAACACACAAAACGTTAAAAATGGTCCTTTGGGCGTAATGTAAAATCTCAAAGCTTTCAGATTTTTTTTTTTTTTTTTTCCTTTCTTTTTCCTTTTTTTTAAATTTATTTAGATGTACATTTATATTGAAAAGTAAAAGTAAATTAACTAATTTAGGAAATAAAATAATGCCTAAATTATGAAATATGCTAATAAATTTGCATAGAAAAGTCGAAGCTCCAGGCAGAAATAAAAGATTGATATCAGTCTCATTTTTACATGTAAAAACCAGAGAGAGAATTTCAGCAGTGTTTATTGATAGTAATGAAAGCATTCTACTTTCATAGAACCCATTAAAAGGAAAAAGAAAATATAGCACTAATGCTATCAACGATGAATGGAGAAGATGATAAACCAGATTCAGTAGATTTACCAGAAATGATTGGTTCTTACATTGGTACGAAGGATGAAATTGGTATTTTCGGTTAACTGCTTAACCCATACTTCTGCTTAAGACAGAAAAAAAAAGCGCTGACCTCTAACAATGTTTCAAATTTATTAAACATGATTGGCATTAATTCTATGATTTTTTTAAAAGATCCCCGGGCACAAAGAAAAGAAGGCACACTAAATAGGCCGTCATATTTTTAAAAATGGTATTAGATTTGACAAACGCCACAAAATAAACTGTTTAAAATCCACCTAATAAATCTTATTAATTCCGCAAAGGAAAACTAAGCAACCAACTGGATTCCTTTGGTTGTTTTTTGCACTAACTGGATTCAGTTCGCTGTCTAGAACGATGAACTTTTCACTCACGGTCACCAGATAAAAAATCAAAAGGTAATGCAATACATGCAAATAAATAAATTCAGAGCAGCAGAATAGGATATGCTCTAAATTAATTAAATAAATCTAAAATTTAGATTTTGTTTCCTTCAATATCTGTGCTTCTATTGCTTTAGATATTAAATATTTTTGTTTAAAATAATCATTCTATGATAAATAGTGCAATTACTTTATGTGGTACAGCTTTCCTTCCAAGATGCTTTTAGTGTTTAGTAAAGGATGGATGAGCTCGTTTTTTAGAGGACTGTTGACGCGTAAAGTCATAAATGGTAGAAAACCAAATTCGACCAATAGGCAAAGAAAATTTCAGCATATGGATTTACTTAGATAACCTCAAATAATTAACATCGTGAAATTTATTAATTAAATTTAGAGAAGACTTAAAATTCCAAAATTGGCCAATTTTTATATACAGATGAATTATTTTCGATGATATTGCGTCGTATTATTTAATTACACAACTCGTATTAAAGGTACATTTTTTAACGGATAGATACCTTCGTATAAGAATTTCTAAGGGAAACCCGCTCGCATTCATACAACATTGCACATAAGAAAAACTGCAACTATTATTTCGAAAGATATTGTTTTAAATTTAATAATTTCTCTTCATGCACATTTACTTACATTACGTGCTATTTAAACATAAGTCTTATAAATTCAAAATATAACCAAAAAATATAATAAGTCTGAAATCTGAAATATTAATTCAAAAAATCTGATGTGTCTACCACATGACTTCCTTGTACGGAATATTAAATTATACGCATTTTTTTTTCATTTCATTTAAACTTATTGTATTGAATTAAATCTACTTCGCCGACAGTGCATAAACCACAATAGAATAAATGCATTCTTTAAAATTCACTCAAGTATTTGTTTACCATAGCGACACTCTGGCGCTAGTTTCACTTAACAGTATTATATTTCGTTCATATTATAATTCATAATGCACAAAATTTATATCATTTAAAGAATAGAATTATCTAATCGTTGTCACATGTTCTATTCAAATACTATAATAAAGCTAGAATGATGTATAAAAGAAATTAAGCAAACAAAACAAAAAAGAAACAGTTTTTCACAGACGATTGAGCATTTCTCATTCAATTAATTCAGTTCTCACTTCGCGAGAAGGCAAAAATACATAAAAACTCAAAATATCTATATTAAAAATTACGAAGTAAATCTGAAACACTTATTTCCTCGAAAAAATTCTAGAAAGGATTAAGCATGATTTAATTGTCAATAATAAATGAAGGCGTTATCTTTGTTATTGCGAAGCTAAGTTTCTCTAGATTGGCAACAAATCCACTAGTCTACTGTTTCAAAAGTAAAAAATCAATGGCCGCCATCAAAGAAAAAAAAAAAAAAAAAAAGACTTAACGGCACTTAAAACTTTAAAATTGTTGATAATTCTAAAAATATTGCATACAGATTTACTAAAGACATAAAACCCTTAACCGGAAGATAAAAACAACATAATTCAATCATTTTTAAAGCAAAAAATGTACAATTTACAAACATATACGAGTAAAGAAACTGAGATCACTGAGCCGGGTAACAGAGTGCATATATATATATAAATATATTTATATACGTTTGGTGAGGCCGATTGCAACCAAAATACGAGGTGAACATCTACATGTTATAGTAGTCCTATATACAAAATTTCGACGTTCTGAGGCTACTCGTTTTTAAGTTATGCGAGATACGTTCGTACAGACGCCACGAAAAATTCTCTTCAGAATTAATTTTAAAGCAGTTTTATAATTTTTTGAAGGAAACGAGTCTTTTATTCTGTCCTTACGTACAGGTATCACGCAGAAACATCGTTAAACTGCATTCGATAGCGGTCGAAATGGATATTTTCGTTGAAATATGCTGCCTGAAAATTTTCACGATTACAATACTTCCTTTTTACGTCGTACAAGGAAGTAAAAAATGATAACAATATTTTGATTTAGTCACTTACATGGCAACCAAAATAAATATTAGAAGATAGTAATAGAAGAACTGTTATTTAGTTGATACTTTTTTTAATATTTGGCATTATTTCTGTGGACGTGGTATAATTATGTACTTTATCGGTGCTTTTTACATTTAATAAGGAATGTTTGTTTTAAGAAATTGATTGCATAAATCATATTGTGAGGCTAATAAATTGAAAATTATGTTTGATAGCTTTTGCGGAAGAAAATATAAGTAACTAATTTTCATTCTCTTCTTAAATTATTTTTTAATTTTGATTTAACCGAAATCTTGAGATTGGTTACCAATAGTCGAATGGGCAAATTAGAAGAGGCTTTTGCATTTTTCTTAAATGTGGAATAGGAATTTAAGCTATTTTTTGCTAAGAAAGGGTTCCATGAAGGCATCCTTTTCGTTTAGACTAACCGCTCACGAGCAGCCTAGCAGTAAATTCGCTAAACACTGGTATTTCGACATGGGTTCAAATTCCAGGGAACGGGCTAGCTACATGGGCATTTTCGCAGTTTTCTCCATGTGTAATGTAAATATGAGCCAGTTTTCCTTAGAAAGTCCTCCACGAAAGAACATATAGAAGCCTTCGAGTTGTTTTACCTTAATCGACTAAACCGTTAACGCCTTCGAATGCTTTGCTGGCAAAAGCAGTCTATCGTAATCTGTTCATCACTATATTAGATAATATTGATCTATTATCTGTTAATTAAAATATTAGTTAGTATATTACTAAAGAAAGTCATTTGAAGTTTGAATTAATAATATTTTGATTGATGAGTTTTAAAACTGTGCTTATTTATGATAACAGAGAACATTTACAATAATCACGAATTTTTTTATGAATTGCACCTTTGGACGAAAGCCATTCATAGCAATCAAGAAACATAGCATTAAAGTTATTCTGGCCTTTTTTGAATAAACTATTAATGTTTACGATACATGGACATTACGAATTCTTAATGAATTTCTGCTACACACTAATATATGCAATAATTAGTAATACCCAATTATTATCATTAGTTCTATCAAAAATTAGTTTTATTATATACAAAAATATTAAAATCAATTACTATAAAAATAGTGAAATCAATTACTGTAAAAATAGTAATATCCAATTATTAACAGGTTAAAAGTAATTATTATATTAATACAAAACATTTCATTTCAATATTATCTAGTCAAGAAGAAAATGAATTCATTATTCTCTCAAACGTATATATTTTTTTCATTTGCAATAACATCGATGAGTTCCAGTTTTGCGCATTTTCGATTTATTTTATATAGTTTTGCATTTTTTGATTAACTTATAGTTATTGAAAATTATGTATTAAGTATGTACTAATATATTTCTACACTTCTGCGTAATAAAATAAAAAATTTAAGCAATATTTTTGAATTAAACATTACTCACTACAGTGCGTTCCTGTTTTTTAGTCTTAGATTAAATAATTTAATCTAAAATAATCGTCGCTTACCTCGATCATGTTGGATGAAACCAGACTTGAAATCACCGCTATCCCGTCCGCATCATCTCCTAAACGGCTTCTTCACCAAAACAAACCTTGGCCATGACCGATATAGGCATTTATATACTTGGGTCACTCCCTCCAGTAGCATCTCCGGGCCCAGGGGACATTTTCGTAGCTTCTGTTCATTATTATGCAAGGGCTGTATAATTCGGACATCCAGAACCTCCAGGCTCCGATACCTTAAGACGAAGAGAGAATAAAAAATTAAAACTGTTTATAAGTGGGTCAAAACCCTTCGTGGCCGTCCGAAGTCACGATACCTGATCAGTTTGTGATAAATAAGAGCATTTTCTGAGGTGTTGAATGGAACTGGGTTATTCAAGAGAAATGATTCTCGGATTTTAGAATTTGGGACTCGGGTTAAATATTACCTATCTGCAATTAAAGATTCACACGCTTTGGGGAAGAAAAGATGTAATCGACAGTCTCTCGTATTTCTTAGTAATAACAGTTCACCTTCATTTTATGTCTACAGGGATTTTCTCTGGAGGATACAATTAAGGCCATTTATAGAAATCTCTCTCTCCTTTAAAGCCGATATTGTTAATTAGAATTGGTTAAGAACAGCTATATTATGAAAACCAGCATAGAAATACCATTAATACAGAGGAATATTTTTTTAAGAATTCAGAATTAAAATTAGCTGTTTGAATGCGTGAAATATTTGAGCAATTTATATGTAAAATGTGTACCACAATGTTCCTCAACTAATTACTATACATTTCCGTGTTGCATCAAATGTTGCATAAAATAAATGCAAAGCAAAGTTCCTAAAAAATACAAAGAAATCTTGAATGTCAATTTTTGTACCAAATATAGCTACATATAAAATGAGTTAGAAAAAGATTTTGTCCGAAGGTACATGATATTGAATACTAGAAATAGCTTATATTATTTACAAAAGTGTTACAAATTTTCGTAAATATTATTTAGTGGATAAATTATAAGTTAAATGCAATTTGATTTAAATCTATTGAAAATGATATTACGGAATGAAATCCGGTCTCTTATAAACGTTTACATTCATATTTACGGCTTTAAAAATTTCGCTTGTAAAACACAATCAAAACATTATCGGAAGCTGACAATTTACAGGGAGTTTTCTGAATTAGCGGTTCTCAGTTCTTTTTCACATTGTATCTCATTGTTTATAATTAGGGATACATAATTTTTCATTAAAAATTATGTAATTTGGCAAAAATAAAAAATTCAAAAACCTAAAGCTCGCATTCATTTAGAAGAAAAAAATTTTTAAATCTCAAGTCACTATTCTTCAAATCTACTGTAATAAAATAACGTACTACAACAATATTCTTTTTGCCTATTCAGTATTGGCCACTTCCAAGGCCAGAAGTTGTGGCCATTTTTTTGTGGAGGCACCAAATAAGCGACCACCATTGTTGCCTATGAAGTGACGGACAGTTACAACCATGCCTTCTTAGGGATTCGAAAAAGAGGCTTCTTTAACTACTATACCGTCTGGGCGGCACACTACAATAACATGGTAAAACAGATTAACTAAAAGTTAGCATTCCCGTAATCTCAGTATTCTCTTCCTTGATTTATTTGTCTTCGAATCGTAACTACAATACTTTATAAATACTAAAATATCTCCAGCATTCATGTTATTAACGAGAACGATGGCTTTGAATAGCTGCTTTTGCGAAGTTTTTGTGACAGAATGTCGTTGCTTTAAGAATCTGTGTAACATCATCTCCAGAGTCTTGATATACAGCTATAAGAAACTGATTATGGAAATGACTGTATCCATCAACGATCTCGTCATTTGGAATGCCTTTAAAAAATGATATTTTCGAGAATTTTTCTTGTAAAATGTTTCACTTCAAAGTTGATGGAGTGATAAAACTAGAGGTAGATAAAATATTCTGCAGATATGGCTTACAGTTGTTGCTTTGTGTAGCATGTGTAGAACCAATTTAAAGGAAGTTTCTGTTATCATTAGGATCGCTTTCTGTTTCTCACCAGTTTTACCTTTCTGAATCAATATTTGCTACTCAGATTTCATTCAGCAGAACCATAGAATGATCTGCTAGGTTTCTGAAGCTATAAGCCCAAACCTAAAAAATTTAACTTCGGTTTTCGAGGAAAAAATTTAAAATGTTAAAAATTTCTGAAAATTAGAGATACGTTTCGGGACAAATTGAAGAATTTATTATTACCATTATTTTAAGAAACAACACATTGAAGATTAATACTGAAAATACCACAATATTCAAACTTTAAAAAAATATATTCTCTAAAAGACTGCATTAATGATAACGATCTTGAAGAAAACTCTCTGAAATAAACAAAATTAAGATATAAATTATTATTATTTAATATTGAGCTAAATTAAATAACAAATTTAATTTAGTTCTAAATAATAATAATATTTTTACTGTTGTTTTTATAACTTTAAGTAGATACACATTGTGTAGTAATACAGAAAACAACGCAATAAATGAAAGTTTTTAAAAGTGTAGAATAGCTTATATTTTTTCTGCTAAAAGGTTAGGTTAAAGATGACGAACCTAAAAATCTAGTTGATTAAATTAAAGTTAGTTTAATGTTGTATTCTCATGTTTATTGACTAATGAGTATTTATTATATAAATATTAAGAGATTAGAATGACTCATGTAACTGAATTATTACAAATGAAGGAAAATGATTATTTAGGCGAAGCTTAATGAGTTTAATTTTATTAAATCTAATATATTTAATTTGACTTTTGCAAATATACTGTTCCTTCTATGAATATTCCAAAACAAATGTGCTGTATTTTTACTGAAGTTATTAATTGTATATGTTGCTTTAATTGTATGTCAGCAAATACTTTTGTTGATTATATCTTAAAAACTTGGCTAAAATAATACGAACTTGGTTATTCATTGTTTGAATACTTTTTATGTATAAAATTAATGGTTTGAAGGTGAAGGTTCCGCATTAATGATAGATGCGTTTGAGATTAATTATTTGTTAATGAAAGACTTTAAAAATTTTTCTTTATTAAATACTGTTAAGATTTATACTAGTTTTAAAATTGAATCAGAGTTTATTCGCAAGGAAACGATACGCGAATTTACAAAAATAATTTATAAAATGTGTGTATGATAAAAAGCAAAAATAAATCTCTAAGAAATTTCTCAGTTACATTTTCTTCTCTGAACAGTCGAAGTTTAAATGGAGGATGGAATCCATTTCAAATGGTTAATCGAAATAAACAATTTTTCTCTGCGTTAACTTTAGAAGTAGTCTTGATTCAGTGAAATTCGAAAGAAATTCCTTTTTACAAGAAAATTATACTGCCTGTAGTTAAAGGCTTAAATTACAGGCAATATAATTTACTCTAGCTAAAATGTATCATTTCGTCAACACTGAAAAATCTACGAAGACGTTACATTTACAATTATTGTCGAACAAACGCTCATTTTTTTTTTCAGCTTTTAATGTTGCCATTATTATTCAAATATTTATAATAGTTTAATTTTTAAGAATAAACATTTTTACTGCTTTACCAAAGTAAAGTCGTTTATTTAAAAACAAGAATTCCTCTTGAACAAATATACAAAATACAGTAAAGACAGGTTTTTTTATATATATTGAATCTTAATTACAAAAGCTGTGAATTTCATAATCTCATGACTCACACAATGCCTGATTTTAATACTTAAGAACAGTTATGTGGTGTTTTTAAATGCTTAAGTTCCTATATTACGGTAGATCTGATCGTCTCAGCTCCTCTTTCCCGGCATATGGAAACCGCACGTCTCCCATAGTGGGTTAGTTTATATTTTATAATTTCATGGATCGTAACATATGTCGTCATCAGGAATCATAACATGTATCGTAGCCGAGAGAATGAGGGGTTTTTCGCAATTTAGAGGATTCCACCTTTTCTCCGCATAAAACAATACCAAGGTTATGTGTCATGATTTGAAAAAACGAAATGGCCCTGAAGTCCTTATTCTAAAGTAACATACTATAATTTCCTGCGGCTGCAAATCGACAAAGGGAGCTACGTGATTTTTTCTCTTGACACTGATACGGGAGGGAATTATCATCCTTCAGCTACGATTGTGATTCAGTTACAAGTATAAAATTACATATCCGGTAACTGTCGGATATGTTCAAATACTTTTTGACCTAATTACATATAAATAGTATTACCTATAAATTGTTACATAATATCAGTTTTTCATCTTAGTCATTATAGTAATTAATTGAGATAATCTCTGCTATCCATATAAAAGTCGCAAAAATTATAGCAAATGAATCTAAACTCAAAACGCAATTAAAATATTCTATACTTTGTATAATTTGCATATTCGAAAAGAACTCTTATTTATCCTCCTTTAATTAACCTGCAAAATACATAAAATGTGCTATCAACTGGTTATATTAATAATAATTCAATATTAGTGATCATCTCGTGATTACTTATGCTGGTCGTGAGCTCCGTTTAGTCTCCTCTAGAAAGTCAATACAGAACCACATAATGGCGATTAATAATAATATTAAAATCATTCTGATAACGTTTCAAAATACTTCTACTATGTTATCAATAAAGGCATAAGGGAAGTCTCTATATTTTGTCAAAGTTTTATTCGTTACATTTTGAAAAACCACAGCAGTATTGTTTAGTCCAAATAGTATCACACTGGTCTACCAGTGGCCGAGCGGTAAAAGACGCTGAACACTGGTAATTTGGTCCGGGGTTCGAGTCCCGGCCAACAGGCTGGTTGCATGGGCGTTTTCGTGGTTTTTCCCATTTGTAAAGTGAGTACGAGTCAGTTTACCTTAACAAGTCCTACACGGAGCATCCCTCACTTTCCGTGTAGTGTCAAATGGCGGAGCACGTAATAAAATAAAAAAGTGTTATGACAATGAAACACTACTAAACACGATGGATTTTGAAAGAACTGAAGTCCTTCTGTGCCCTTAGATAGGTATTTCCTACTAACCTTTCAACAAATCAAGAGTAGTTATAATATTTGCTCTTCATCAGGAAATTATTTGTTTTTGTAATAGCGCTTAATGATCTGTAATCGAAGGAGATATTGATATTTATTTCAAATAATTCTTACAC